TTTATCTCCGTGCCTTTCATCTATCATATATAAAAGAACTTCAAGACTGTTCAAGGAGGCTTAACTTGGGATGGTAAACACACAATGCAATATACAGATGATGTATTATAGAATTGTACCCCTGAAATCTATATAATTTTGTTAAACAATGTCAGCCCAGGGGAAAAAAAGGGTAAAAAAAAAAAAAAAGTAAGAGAAAAGATACTGTATTCTCCAGAAATTCATTTATTTTTAACTTTCAGTTTTAACTGTTTCGGTGGTTTTCTGCTTCACGGCTCCAGGCCTGACTCTTTCCTGAGTCCCAGGCATGCACAGAACATCGATGTTAAACGTGCCCTATTTCCTGTCTTCTTGACCCAATATCCAGTATGTCTGAATCAGTACTATGTAGCAGGAAAAGTCCTCTCTTCTTACCTTCCTGTGTCCCTCAGTCATACTATCCATTTTCTTTGTACTTTCTAAAATGTTTTCCATCACCATTTACCCCCTCTGTGTCCTCTTCCACTTCACCCCCCCTCCCCTCAGCGATCACCACACTGTTGTCCATGCCCATGAGTTCTCACTCTCTTTTTTGTTTCTTTCTTCTTCTTTTCTTCTAGATGTGCTACTTACTTGCTTTGGGACTTGAGGCCAATTGTATAACTTCTCAGTACCCAAGTAACTTCTTCTGTAAAAGTGGGGTGCTGATCACCATACTAATAATATGTCCCTCACAGGGTTGTTGCATGATCGAAATAAGGTACTATACACATGTAAACCAGCACCACCCTGCACCTGGTACCTGCTCAATACATTTCAGCTGTCGTTTTTCATGTATTTGCCAGATCTTTATGTATAATCTCCCTGAAATTCATGGTTATGTTTCTGTTGCCAAGTTTTCTGCCCTCCACCACTCTGTGGTATTAATGCAAACGGTCTCTGGATCACATTCTCCCAAATCCAGCCTGCGTATAGCTACCAAGTGCATCTTCCAAAGGCACTCTTTCAGCTGTAGTTTGAAAACCCCTCAGTGATTTCCCGTGGCTGTCAGGACACAGTGGAAACCCTCCTTGTCTCAGCAAAGTGTCCATGAACTGGCCCCTGCTTCTCTTTTCTAATTGTTTCTACCTCTTCTCTGTTACCCAGTCTTTGGCTGTAGACAAACTGGACTATCAACTTTTTCTTAAACATTCTGTTCTGGCATGCCTCTTAGCTTTTGTAACAACTAGTCGTCATGTTTACTATGTACCACGCAATGTGTTGAAATTTTTAAGAGTGTTCATCTCATTTATTCTCACAACAACGTTGTGAGGTGACTGCCATGCTATCCCTATTTTAAGAATGAGAAAACTGAGGCCTAGAGACAGTGAGTAATTGGCTTAAAGCCACACAGTTGGGAAGTGATGGACTTAGATTGGGCCAAGATGACTACAGATCCTGTGATATTACTGATTCTATCTTATGCCTTCCTTCTGCTATGTCCCCCTTCCCTGGAGTATCCTTTACCCTTCTCCCATCCACTTCTCTCTCATCTAATATTCACAGCCTTCCTCAGGTTCTGCCTTTATGATCAAGCTTCCCCAGACTCCTTCAGACTCTAGAACGTCTGTGCAGGTACAAGCTTCTTGAGGCTAGGAAGGCTGTTATGTGTTTCTCTTGAAGCCCAGCAATGCCTTGAGTAGAGTACTTAATAAATTCTGACTATTTATTGGTATCAGATTTCTTTTCTAATGAATTTCACAGTGATTCCTTGTGGTTGAGCCAATTTATCTCTGATTTCTCTTTATTGTCCATTCTTGCCCATTGTCCTAGTTAAGTCTTTTTGATTGCCAACATATGTATGAACATAAGCAAAAAGGGAATTGGTCGGAATGGTGTGGGGTATCACCGAATGCTGAAGAAATCAGGGAAAGCAAAGCCCAGTGGAGTTTCCCAATGGTACCATCCTGGGAAGCACCACTTTATGCAACAGAATCTTTCCTTCTTTTGGAGTCACTCCAAGTTACGGCTATCTGACAACCCCGTATGTTGCCTCCTTTTCCCAGTGTTTAAGAGGGCTGCAATCGACAGCTAAGCAAGGGGAGAAGTGAGTCATTCTCATATTGCAGAAGTCACGGAGTGGGAGGGACTCCAGTATAAAGAAACGTGGCGTCTAAAGAGGAATAGAGGAAAGACTAGACGCAATATTAGAAAGAGAGGAAGTCGCCCTGGCCAGTTTGGCTCAGCGGTGAGAGCGTCAGCCTGTGGTCTGGAGAGACCCGGGTTCGGTTCCCGCTAAGGGCACGTACTTCGGTTGCAGTTTGTCCCCGGCCCTGGTTGGTCGTGCGGGTGGCAGCCACTCGATGTGTTCCTTCACGTCGATGTTTCTCTCTCTCTCTCCCTTCCTCTCTCTCCCTCCCACTCTATCTGTACAAAAAATGGAAAAATGTCCTCGGGTGAGGATAAAAACAAACAAACAAAAAAAAAAAGAAAGAGAGGAAGTCACTTGAGAGTTGCTCAGAATTCTTCAATTCCTGTGATAGGATAGTATTCCTGCTCCGACTTCTGCATCTTCTAAAACTCTGAGTTAGGGGTTTACAGTACCTTGGGTAAGAGGGTTGACAGGTGGACTGGAGTCATTTGTGACCCTTGACAGTGAATCTCATTTTCTGATACTTACACTTTTCTGGTGCATCTACGGTTTGTACTAGATTCTCAAATGGATCTACAGTCCAAAAGGGATTGTAAAGTACTGTTTTAAGCTATTAAAATAGAAACATAATCTTACCCCAGGAAATTAGGTAACTCAGAGGCAGACTCTCTTAAAATCATATAACAAAAAAGATTAAATCTGAAAACTCGGCACATACTATAATATGCCTGCTCATGGGACAGATGTGAAAGAGTTATTTAGAGGGTGAGATCTACTTAGGGTGAAGACATACTGTGGAATTTCTAAAGATTCAATGACCACGGGTCAAAAGGGCTTCTGCTCTGTGAACTCCCAGGTGGCCTATTGAGCCAACTACAGATTAATGATACACTTCACCCCTCCAGGTGCTGTTTTCATAGCATCTTGCTATTTTTCTCATGGATTTGAGAAAGGCTTCTTCAGTCTCCATACTTCAACAAGGGATGATCAGTACCTCTTTTCACTTGTCCCGCACAAATCGCTGCACATCAAGGTGAAGGTGTGTGTGTGAGTGTCTCAAGTCCGAAGTATATGTATGTGCTTCAGCTAAATCTAGCTATTACCTGGGAAATGGGAATTACCTGCATCAGTAGAAAAGTATTTGAGATAAAGGGAAGGCTTGTTAAGTAAGGAGACAGCATGTATGTAAGGCCATGGTGGTTGGAACTAGCTGGTTAAGTGAGACCTTCCTTGAGGATGGCCGTCTTCAGTACAGAATCGGAATTGTGTTTGCACACACGGTTTCTCAATACTCAGAAGTATTTAGGGGAGGAGCCACAGTTTTAAACTGATGGTTATAGGAGGCTTTCTTAGGAAGAGACATTTGAGTAAATGAAGAAAATTAGTGGCAAGTCACAGACTCTCTGGAACCATTCACGTCTGGGTTGCAAGTTGGCATCATCTGTGGCAGCCAACCTGCACCTGCATCATTAAACGTGCTGAACACTAGAAAGAAAAGACAGGCTCTGGAACAAAAGCCTGCGCACAACCCACAATGTGCTTACTCACTGTTCCTCTCCTCACGTCAGTCTCCCCTTTTCCACCTGTGGCCTGAGTCCTCTTTCCAGCCAGGACAGGAGCAAACTTTGTGAGCTAGGTAGCAGCCTTGTTATTTTTCTTTCTTGAAGTTCAAAACTCCTAGAACATTGAGAAGCTCTTGCACGGAAATTGTTCTCCTGGTTAAGCTTCTTGATTCCATCCACAGTGCCCATCATACAGCATTCTGCACAAAGATGCCCTTCACTGACCCTCCCTGATGTGAGAGCAGGCACACTTCATAAGGACTCTTTCCTCAAGACTCATGGCCTTGGAGAGTTGGTGGGAGTTTCTTCTACCTCAGGAGTCATGGAGATCAGTCCTCAGTGGGAATATTCCTCCAACCGTCTTCATAATCCACATTGCATTTCATGGACAGGGAATGGTTCCTTTAGCATGTACATCAAACGGGTGGGCACCGCTGTGGAAAAGATGCATGCTGCAGATGAAGAAACAAAATCTTAAAGAAATAGCTGTCTCACACAACAGTGAAGACAGAACCAATCTTTTCATTTTAGAACCAATCTTTTAGAACCAATCTTTTAATTTTAATCAAGTATTTCCTAGTCCTGTGGCCTCCAAATATTTATCTAGTATGCCTGGTAGGGAAAAAAAATGGACTACACTCCCATATTCTATGTTTATTTATACATTATATCATTCTTATCAATAACTAATATTTGAAAACAATATACAAATGGGACAAGGTTCATTATTAAGCACAATAAATAGAAGCCCCTCATTTATTTTCTCATTAAACTTAATTATATACTGTGCTAATCACTGAAGACACAGTGAATGAAGCAGATAAAACTCCCACCCTCATGGAGCACAGAGTCTAGTAGAAGACAGACCATAATTTAAATAAATAAGTAAAATGCAAAGCAGTGTGGCATGCTAGTGAGTGCTGTGGGGAAAAATGAAACAGGAAGAAACATTCGGGTGAGTTGGAGGGAAGAGTTACACTTTTACACAGCCCCAGAGAAACTTAGCAAAAAATCTAAAGATTAGGGAGTTAACCGTTTGACTCTTTGTAACCATTTGACATAGGGAATCAAGGTGTCCATGTCAGTTTTCTTTATTTAGGTGACCAATATAAATAGAACTCTAATATTTTCTTCTTGAGTTCTAAGGGATTGCCTTGGGCACCCCTCTAAGGAGATCACTAATTTGTCTACGTTTTCATGAGCAACCGCTTTAAACAGACTTCTCGGAACTACGGTGAATTCTTAGAGCTTACCTTGGGGGTCTAGCCAAACTGACAATGTTTGGATGGCTGTTTCAGTGACAGACATAGACCCTTACAGTAAATTAGCTCTCGGACTCCGTCTTGATTTGGTTCCATGAGTGATTTTACATCATCTGGTTTATTTTGCTATGAGCAATTCTCTTAGACGTCCAAAGTCACTGAGTGTTGTCTTGCTTTAAAGACGGTGATTGAGACTTCATGCACAAAAGCCTATCCGAACAGCTGGTAGTGAGTTACTTACAGGAAGCGGTAACTTGTTGGTTTTCTTTTCCTTTCGGGTGAGTTATGTTACTGCAGCATGAGCATTTCCCTTTTCACCAGAGAAGAAAGAATCGTTGGGGCTAGGGGCACTTCGGAAGGAAGAGGTTCGACAAAATTGATATTTTGAAATATTTGGGGAATCAAATGACAGCAATACAATGAGCTTCCGAGGAAAGGTTTTCAAACGGGAGACCAGTGAGTTTTGGAAGAAGAGACGGACAGTGAGAAGAACAAATCAAGAGGAAGTCCACAGGCTTGGTTCCGTAGGTATCCACATGTCGGCATTGCCTTTCTAGCTTTATTCTAACACTTTTTAAAAAATTAGGATTAGCTCTTGGGTGGCATTCTAATATAAACTATGCGTAAAGTCCAACGCATAACAGAATTTTCAGTTTGGCTCATAAACAGCCTCTTTTACTTACATCATTATTTTATAACATATTGATAGAGAATTTAAGTAGCTAAAACATTACTAGACTATTTAGAATATTAGAATTACTCCCATTGTTATTTTTTTTAAATAGTAATAGTGGATTTAAATACTTAAAATATTGCTAGAATATTGTCTGTTTTTTATACTTTGTTTTAATCTAAGAAAAGTCTACAGTGGCCTCAATTAAGAGCCCAATTGATGACTTAAATATAGTTGTGTTTTTAAAAAACATTACTGCTGTTTTTTTTATCATGTACCACTCATTATTTGTTTTAGAATTCTTAGAACAAAGCAAAAGATGAAAGAAAATGTCAATAAGTATTGATTAAATGAGCCAGGGAAGAGAGTAAAAAGTGATGTTCTAAAGGTTAAAAAGATATGGTTTGTTTCCTGTTAAAAATGTTTTTGCCTTATTATTGTTTGTAAACAAACTGAGAGTTCTGGAAATGTGTACTTGAATTCGAGATGTCTGTTAGAACTCCCGACGGCTGAATACTGGAGCCAATTGCTAGAACCCTTCAGAGAACCACATGGAATGTGGAAGGCTCCCTGTATACGATAAATGGCTGCAACAACACTATTGGAGAGTTCTTTCTACAGAAATGTTGATTCTACAGGGTGTTCAGATTTTGCTTGCTTTCTTCAGGGTAAGGGTTCTTACCCTCGGCACTGCTGTTTGGGCTCTGAGATGCCTTTGTCACGGCAGGCTGTCTATGCACTATATAGTTCAGTAACATCCCCGGCCTCCACCCACTAGATGCTAGTGGCAAACTCTTGAAAATTGTGACAAAAAACATCTCTAATATTGCCAGGTGTCCCCTGCGATGGGGAGGGTGATGTCCCCAGTTGAGAAGCACTAGGGGTTAATTTTTTTTGTTCAGATAAGCATCTAGAAATAAAGCAGCTTTAAAAAAAGTTGTGTATATGATAATATAATGATGCTTTGTGAATAGTCATTTCCTGCATAAGCATAATCAGATTAATGAACAGTCAGCCCTTGATAGGCCAAAATCAGGTACCAGAATACTACATCTCAAGTAACAGTGGTTTTCTTTATAGTTACCATCCATGTGGTGGAAATGTGACATGGTTAGAGTTTACCAGATGTCTGGCTCTTAGGATGGGGGCCATGTTGTTCAGTTGGTTCCTAGGTCATTGTCTCAGGAGCACATGTCTTCCATTGGAAACACAGACAACTGAGTTTCTTGATGTTGTTCTCATGGGATACACCCAGGTCTTTCCATGCAGCATTTCACAACTGGAATATTCGGGGTCCTGAACCCAACCTCTTGTATGTGCCCAGTTGTGTCTTCTCTTCTGGCTCTATCAGAAGCTCATCAATTGTTTACCCCCAGCCTGTTAAAGAGGATAAGTATTTGAAAAACTTATTTGGTTTGAGATTATTTTCGTCTTTAGACCAGTCCGAAAACATCATTTCCCTACTGCCCTTCTCTCGGTGGAATTTAGTAGAAGTTCTGGGTTATGTCACTATGAGACTGACTTCTTCTTATGTTCCCTGAAGACAACACACAAGAGAAGAACAGGCCTATCACACACGACCACACATACAGTTTGGCAATGGGACAGTCCCTGGTGTCTCCCGGTATAATGAAGCTAATCGCTCTCTGGATTATCTTAATTGAATTTGAAGGTATTGCTACTGAGCACTAGGGGAAAGGCAGCCAGTGAGGACAGAGTGTTTTCCGCAGCATTCAGTAGCAATGCATTCACATTTAATTAAGATCATTCATACAGTGATTAGCTTTCTTCTGTGGAAGGCACTGGGGACTTTTCTGCTACTGTTGCTTGCCTGGGGTCTTCCTAAGACAGGAGTATCTCCTTTTACAGGTTGTCTCTTCTGTGGAGTAGGGGACTGCTCAATCCATCCTAAGTATTATCCTGAGATGTGGGTTTCACTTTGGAAAAAAAGTTAATTCAAGAAAGTGAAACATGCAATTAGAGCCCCAGGGGTTCATTCTCTCTCACTTTCTCACCTACCATCTACGTGACTTTGTGCAGATTACTTACATTACTCTGAGCCTCAGTTTCCTGTCCGCAAAGTGTTTGTAACAGTGCCTGCCCTGTTAAAGGGACTTGCTATAATTCAGGTTGATCTTGTGCATTCTGAACATGATTTGAACACTGTAAAAGGTACCAGTTCCAAGTGTTGTGTAGTATTAATAAAACCAAGTAAAATACGTATGTTTCCAAGACAAGGGAAGTGGGATATAATTGTAGTGAGATAGTCTTTTCAATGGCTACAACAAATGAAGCCAATGGAAGGTGACACCTACCCCTGGGAGCCTTTTGCAGTGACACAGTTACTCAGTAGACACTGTTCTGAACTGGATCAAGCTGAGTGTGCAGAGGTCCTAGACTGCTGTGTTGATGGGGTCTGCCTTAGAAATACCGTGTTGTTTTTCCTCTCCGCCCCCAAGCCCAGCTGAGCTAACACTGACCCAAAGCCAGTTGGAACTTTCACAACACAACCACCTAAGCTTTCTAAAAGCTAAACCAGCATCCCTAGACTGGCTCCAGAGGACTTGATAGGTGTCACTGCAAAAGCAATTCAAGTGACAAAATGACGAACAAGTAAAGATGAGGCTTCATGTTGGCTTAGAGAACCACGAATTCCTTTGAGTTGTTGCTTATACTCCCCCATTGCAGTGAAAGGAGAAATAAGGATTCCTGGACATGATTATTATCGATTATCTGTTTTTATAATGGTCATGTGGATTTTGAGCTCTAAAGCAAATTTAGAAATGGTTTAATTTCTTAGTAATCTAGAATGTTTGACCAGATATCTGGCTTCCTGAAAGGTGTAAAACCCAGACTTGACACTCTTTATTTAACCCTATTGTAAATTTGAATTGCTGTGGACGTGTCCCTTATGAACCCAGTTTTCAAGTGTATTGTCTAAGAAATGCCTTTGCATACTTTAATTCACTTATCACAGAGTACAGATACATTATAAGAAAAGTTCAAGGACAGTGAAACTGACATGTTAGATCAAGTAGGACAATTTCCCTTAATTTTTGAAATGTGTGTGGTGTTTTTTATAGGAGGTTTTCTTTTTAACTGTCTGTCTTTTTTTTTTTTTAACCCAAATCGTTCAGAGTGATCTCTGGTGCATAGGAAGTCAATAAAAAACAATTTCCTTCCTAAGTGGCATGTCTTAATTTGGAAAGATTAAGCATATGATTACATTTAATTATTAAGCCAATCATGTGTAGCATCAGAAAAATGAAAAATTTATTGAGATAAATATGAGTTGATATTTTTAAGGTTTTTTTTCTACTGGCTTGTAGGTCTTAAGTCTACAGGATTTCAGAATATTTCGAAAACTTTGGATATGCATGAAAATTCTTGTTCTCCTCTATATTAATAGCCTCTTGGCACTTTAAGAGAAAATTGAAAACTATAGACAGGGGATCTAATCTGAATGTCTTTAACGCACCTCCCACATGCATCATTTTATAACATGTATTGTCATTTTTTTCAGGTCTATTTTTTATCCTTTATTCTTCTTTGTTAATGTAAACAGCCTCCATCCCTGGTCACCTGGGCCTCCTAACTTACTGTTACTGTGTGTTGTGTACGAACATTCTCAGTTAGTTGTTCATTTTACAATGAGGCAATGAGCCCAAAGGATGCACAGGAAGAGGTTCCGGGATGAGGCTGCAGGAAAGAATGAAAAGAGACTAAATGGACTTTGAAACACAGTGGAAAACAGAGATGAGAGCTCTATAAGTGGACAGCTTGGAGGAAGCAAAGAAGCAGGAGTAACGGGAGAGATCAAATTCAGTCGGGACCACGGGAAATGGAAGAGTGTAAATTGAAACTTGATCTAGCCTAAGAATTGAGGCCCCATCAGAGGGAGGGAGGAGCTAGCTCAGGTGCCAGAGAGCTGCAGAGAAGATGCTTTCCAAATGGACTCAGGAGGGGTACCTGCAACTTGACCAATAATGAACTCACTTTCCTCTAGACTGCTAAGAGAGGGAGAAGATGTAAGCCAGGCGAGAATAAGGTGGAGGACAGTTACCGGGCAAAATTAACTCCATGACGGCACCCTTTACAACTATTTGAACAGAAGGTCGACCATAATTTTGAATATGTTTTTATTGATTTTAGAGAGAAAGGAAGGGAGAGAGAGAGAGAGAGAGAGAGAGAGAGAGAGAGAGAGAAACATCAATTGGCTGCCTCCTGCACGCCCCCTACTGGGGATCGAGCCCACAACCTGGGTATGTGCCCTGACCTGGAATCTCACCAGTGACCTCTTGGTGCATAGGTCAATACTCAACTCCTGAGCCACACCAGCCTAGCGGAGAGTGGCCATTTGTCAGAGCAGGGAATGCCACAGTGGACAAGAAATAACACCATTATTTCCCGGATGGTGGCGGTGGTACAAAACTCTCTGAATTGACAGATTCCCTAATCAGTGGCAGTTTCCATCCTGGTTTTTGACTGATTCCTTAGTATACTTTTATATTTCTTTTGCTTGATCCTTCCTACCCTCATATAAATGTTTTTGGTCCTCTGTCCTTAGCACTTCCGTCCCTGAGGTGACTAGGGATTGCTTACCAGCCCCTGGGTTTCTCATGTTCTTCCCTGCAGAACTCACAAAGCAAACAGGAACAGTCCTCGAAACTACAGCTCTGTTTCAGAATCTTCCCTGCAGGAAAATAAAGAAGAAGCTTTGATGTTGCCTCTTCCTTTGCTGGTGGAGTGGAGTGGAGTGGACCCGAGGCCTCTTGCCAGGGCTGTAATATCAGTTCTTCCATCAGCTTGCTCAGCAAGTCCTCAGAATCCAAGTCTCTTCCTCTGTAAAAT